AATCAAATGCAAGCCATGGATGTCGCAACAAAATTTGAAAATTTGAAGATTTGCAAGTGAAACAATGGCCAGTGTTTTAAGTAAGTTTTCTTTTGCCACTGCAGCTGAAAAACAGCTCAAACAACCAAAACACTGTAAAAAGCACTGCTTTTTGGTTGTCAGTGTAGAAAAAGTGGTGTTTAGAGAAGGGAATTGTCAAGGAAATCGAAAATTAGAAGGCGACCCAGCTTAACACTTTGCTCGAGTGATCCAATGCCGATATGAAAAAACAAACATGGTTAAACCTCAGAAACGACGATTCCATTTCATCAAAAGTGATTCGAACACAGACTGAACAATTCCTTGAACTGTTTAGCCAGACTTTGAACTTGTTTTGCACCTTAAAGATGTGAAGATATCATGGCATATTATTGTTTTGATCGTACGCAGTTGTTTTGACTGAACACACAGTTTGAATAAATTATTTTTGCACATGATGTGCGTGCTTTGCTTATGCTTACTTATGATGAGCTATCTCGTATTTTTTCATGTATTATTATTAACACGTAATCACATGATTTTTCTCGTGCAATTTGGAATAAACAATTACTTGTTAATTTTTTAAAAAACCACAAATTGCACTCGCCCTACAGGCTCATACAATTTTGTTAGTCTTTAAAAAAGTACATGCATTTATTTACTGCATTTATCTTAACCAATCAGAACTGAGTAATTTTTCCATGTATATTATTAGATCTACAATACTGTGATCTAGGTATATGCCAGAGGTGCTAAGCTTTGTGCTGAGGAATCCTCACTGTTAGGCATTAATTGATCATATAACAATTGGTGTAATGCAAAGTGCTATTGTGATTGAATTTATTTCCAGTTGTTGCCAACTTTGTTTTTTCTTGCTAGTGGTTGATTGATAATTGAATGTGGATCAATGTATCTACTAGTTATGTGAGAAGAGTGTGAAGTTTTCCATGTTCTCTTCTCTCCAGAAATTAGGAGTAAAAAGGAGGAGATATGAGAGGTGCAAAAGGCCAAAAATCTTCAAAAAGAAAATAAGATTTATGATTAGAAGGGATCAAATGATGAAAATTACAGATACAATCAATGACCTTAAGGCCATGTGTAGAGATATTCAAAGCTCTTTGCCGTTCACAAATAAAGCTTTTCAAATTTTGAGACATAGATATCAAACTTTGAGGGATTTCATGTCTCAAAGAAAGTTAGATATTGTGAAAGAATTCAGGGATGATCCACTTTGAGTTGTAGGAGATAGCCACAGAAACAAAATTGTGTTAGGTCAGGGAAGGTTTGGTGTTTGCAAGCTTACATGTATGTCTTTTTCAGTTAGTGGCAAATCTCTTGAAGTTGCAATCAAGTACTATACTGAATCAACAACTTTTAAGTTGTTGATTCAGTTTCTTAAAAGAAACTGATGTTGAGGAAGTCTGTCTTTTATCACGCATTTCTCACAAAGCATTTCCCTTTATTTTTGGTGTAGTTTTTGGAAAACTATATAACAAACCTCTATTAGAGGCTTTTAGAATTGAGGAAGGGATCAAACATTCATTTACCAATTTTAGAGCTCTTCAGTCACAGAGTATATGTGTTGAAAAATCATGGTTAGGCATTTTAATGCAGTGTGGAATGAGGGATTCCATTATCTTTGTGGAGTTGGGATTGTCCAAAACAACATAAAAGGAGATAATGTTTTGATTTTAGAGATGAATAGGGCTGATATGCAGCCCAAAATAATATATTTTAACAAGGCATGTGAGGTTTGGAAATCCAAGGTAAAAGTTATTCCTTCTGGACCAGGTAGAGTTCGACTCAAAACATGACTTTTGTCATAAACATATTGATCCTACATTGTATGATGGTCTATATGCCCCTGGTCCAACTTCACATGTTTAAAGTTTTGGTTATAACTACCAAGTACAATTGCAAAGACTAAGAAATCAGAACTAATTGAGAAATTAAGTCTGACTTGTATGAGCAAATATATGTCCAACATTTGAGACATTGCTGAGGAACCTTAACCCTTTAATTCCCAAGATCTTATTAGTGATTCTCCTTATTGGCTACCATATAGCTCTTGTGGTGTTAGTTTGGAGAATTTGGTATTGAATCAACTAATAATCCCCTAATTGATATTTTTCTTTATTCTCATCACTTGTCTGCTCAATATATTATATTAATATTGTAAGGAGAAATTCTGTTTTGATCACTCATGGGAGTTAAAGGGTGCAATGTACTTTTGAATATGAGTAGCCACATTGCATAACAATTACCATTTCAGTAGCTGAATGTACATTCTGCTAAACAAATTGTCAATAAACATGCTATTATTTCATTCAGCTGGTCTTTTTTTTTTGTTACTTTAGGTGGAAGATTGGATGTATAGATTTAAACTTCCAGCACATGTGAGTATACAACAATATTATGTAAATATTAAGGAAGGATATTTGAAACAGCAAGTAAAACCTTTCACTACTCTAAGCTACTGCATAGCTATTATTAAACTTAAAACAAGTGGGTGTTGTGGATGCATGATTTACAGATTTTTGGGATTTTCAGAGGTCCTTTTAAAGGTTAGGCTGTTTGGGAAAAGGTGTTTAGGTGGGGTATTCTATTAAAAGTCAACTTTTCAACGATATGTATGTCAAAAGTGTTAAATTGCTTGTATAATTTTTCATTTGATATTCCTACATTGAATCACCTTTTTGTACCAGAAATTAAAAATCAAACCATATTGGTTTTTAATCAACAAGATACTATAGGAAAGGGCCCTCAACAAGAAGTATTTACAATCCTAACAGTGAGTGTCTGTTCTACTGAAAGAGACCAGAAACTTGTTTAATTCTGGAGCAGATTATCAAAAAAGAAGAAACAAACAAACAAACAGAAATGGCTGTGAAATCAGTGTTTACACTGAATAAAAACATGCTATTCATTGCATGTAGCTTCACTTTTAATGCCTGTGTTACACATATTTTTCTTGCCTGTAGGATACAAGATGAAAATACCTATCAATCATGAACTTGCCAATGTATACAGTCGTGAAAATAATTTTGAGTTGTTTGTTTTGGTCATTGATACCCAAGGGGGGTATGTTGAAGCTTCAAATTGATTGGCATGTTTTAGATATAAGGGACTTTTTCTTAATTTGCTTAGTTGTTGATAGTTGATCGCTCAGCAACCTTTTGGTTTCAACTTTCCTCTTTTGAGACTCTTTTGAGGTTAGGTGACTCATTTTTTCATTTTCATTCATTTTTTTCTTTTTACAGAGACAGCTTCAATTGATGATGAATTGTCGCAGTTTGTTCAGCCCAAATTGTGGCCACTGGTGAATGATTTGACTTAGATAAACTATGTATAGTCTGTCAGGGCATAATTCTATGCAGCATACCACAACAAAGCATTGTAGATAGCATTGTGGCTTTGCTGTCTTCATTTTATTTATTCAATATGTGGTGTATAAAGACAGCAAAGCTATATTGTCTTTCCTAGAGCAGGCCCTGATGTGTATTGGCCAAGGCTATACTTCGCTGAATGACAGCACTTTCGCTGATGAAATTTCAAAATTGTAATCATTGGTAGAATTCAATTTGTAATTTGAAAAATCGTATGAAAAAATGTACAATTAATGTTGGATATTCTCATTACTGTGGTTTATAGCCCTTTCACAGCTGTTTTATGCATATGTATTATTGTTAGGTTGCCAGAAAAAGGTCAGTTGGAGAATGCAAAATTTTTACATTGTCAGTAAACCATTTTACCTTTATATGTATAACTATTAATCACCAATTGAGGGATTTTTATGTTATTATTTTTACTGCTAAGAACTGAACAATGAGTGTGAATCAAATAGATAATTGGAACCATCTAATAAAATAGATGGAAATTGATTTTAGTCCAAATAAAACTGTTATAGAGCTTAAGTTAGGATTCATTCAGACTTCGTTTGTGTTGCTTTGGTCACGGGAGGTGCTTTCTTTTTACATTAACAAGGGTTTAATAAGTCACCCTTTGAGGGCATTGTTGGCCTAAAATGTACAGATGGGAAATAGCTCAAGTGGGGAAATTTTCTGTCATACCAAAAACCATTTTAGTGTTGTTAAGAGGACTGTTTAACATAATTAAGGTCCCAAACAGCTCCTACCAATCAAGAGCGTCGTTTCAGACCTAGTGCCGATTTAGCCATTAAGATTCGTTTGTTTTGACCATACATTGGCCCCACGAAATAGGGGCCACTTTCCCTCCCTCTAGGGTACGAATTAGTTCTAGAAGGGCTGATTTGGCCATACAACATTTGACGTCTTTTAGGATACCCGTCGCCTATGTCTTGAGATTTTAATCTTGAGTGAGACCTCTGCTACTTGGTTTCGTCTGCAAAACACGTCTGGAATTTCTCCAAGATATAATTACTTTACAAGAATTATAAGCTACCCCTCATTTTTCCATATTACCCCCATTTTCCCAAAGGAGCCCCGTTAGGAAGCCGTTTCGGCTATCCTACACAGGGCCATTTCTGCCCTTTTGGCTGGGGCCAAACAACCCTTTTTCAAAAGAGCCAAATTAGCCCCAAAAATAGGACTATTTTACTCACTAAATGGCCCTATTTTGGGGGGCTGAAACAGATCCTTTCAATTTATAGTGAAAAACCACTCGTGCGAAGCCTCACGTCTCTAGCATGTCAACAACGGTATCATTCTATCTGTTTACACACCAATTACTTTCCTTCTTATGACAAAATAACGTATAACCTTTCAAAGTTACTTCTCACTAGCTTTGACCGGTTTGGATAACCTCAAAATTCTTCACAACATTGTATCGCATACTTAACATAAGCTAGATAACTATATTTAGAATCAATTCCCTGGAGCCGTTTAACCAAATTAAAATTCTCTTCTAAACAAAGGAAAGAACGACAAGTTTGCATATGGATTATATCTTGTTTAGAAATTTGACCGCGTCAGGACTGTACCCGAGAAATAAAATTCGGTAATCTATGCTAATGTAAGTTGAAGCGTCGTTTTTTTCAACTCGTTATGGGGCTTTTTCCTTCGAAATCGAAGACAGCTGCTCAGGGAACTCAACAAACCCAGCAAGCTAGCGCGCCACAGAATACTACTCCTTCGGTTGAACCTCAAAATCAAATCCAGGCAAATCAGGAGCCACGAACTGTTAAACAGTAAGTTGTTGTGTTGCTGGTGTGTACATATTATGAGCATGTTCGCGTTACTTGATTTTCTTGCATCCAAAATGGTTTCCTCGGGTGAGGTTCGTTCTCAATATGCTAACCGCGCTGTTAACAAAGGGAGTAACCAAAAGTTCACAAGTTTGTGAGTCACAAATCAGCGGGAACCATTTCCAGGCTGAAAAGCGCATTGTTCGCTCGCGGTGCTTGCGTTAGTTGTGTCAAGCTTTTCCCTTCCATGTTTACTGTTCTCTCAAAAGAGCCAAAACTGCAAATACATTTGAATTAGTACAGGTAGCGATTTTTGTGACCGCAAGAAATATCGAGTGGATGGATAGTCTGAGACACACTCCTTCCTCGTGCTTTTACATCTTTCGAAAAAATTATCGACATCCTTACTGGGATTACAATTTAATGTAGATCGCAAAATGCTGATATTGGCTGATAGCAGTAATGGGGAAGGTGGAGCGTCTCTTGCACTGGTCTCGTTTTAATAATATTAGGGCATGTAATTCGACATTTTCCTGCAATAGTGTTTGGAACATCGTCCTTGCGAGCCTTCACACTAAGAGAGTGTGTTATGTCTTTCGCGCGACTAAATGTGTTCCTTTAACTCCAACAGCAATCAAGCGTACTAAATCAGCTGATAATTCCGTCATTATTCCTGAGCATTTCGCTTTAGGGTTTCAGTGAAGTAGGGTGCTACGCTTAATCTACTGTTGGGATTTGTCAGCCATGCTGTAGGTGTTTCTATTTGGTCGCTAAGGCCATTCCTGTTGGCTTGGAAACAAGCCAGTGTGTAATTGAAAACACATGAAGCTGTCAGCAAAGAACGAGTCTGACAGATCGGCGGGACAGGTTATCCTCCAGGCTTAATGAAATATAACCCAAACAGCTACAATAATCCTCGAAAATCTAAGCGAAGGAAATTGTCGATTTAAGGGTTAATTCCGCCAGGTTTATAAGAAATGTTATTTACCTTTGAAGACAAATATAGGATTTTGAACGATCAGCGATTATTATTCACTTATTTCAATTTATTAACAGCAACTAGAAGTTTTAATTTTAGATTTTGCTTGACAATTTTACAACTCATTTGCAGTTCCGTCTGGAAATTTTATCCAATCAATTTTATCGCTTGCGCTGCGTTGGTTGCACTTTAACAATATCCTGAGATTTTAATTGGACATGGTGGTGTTTTTTTCAGCGTCGTGGGAACAATAGATTACGAGCAGTTCTTTCTTTCGGCGAAGTTCGTCGCGCGAGTAAAAATAGTCAGGGAAATAAGAGGGGCTCTCGAAAAAGATGGGACCACAGACCTAGCTCGAGAGTTTGGCTTCTGCACTGCGTGCGCAACGCAAAATTTTGATCGGCTATCGGCAAGAAAAAAGATCATTCGTGTTAACGCTTGCCAACATTCGTCATGTTTATTGCGGTTACTGACAATTGGTTCGATGAAGCCAGAGCAGACTGAGACACTTTAAGCTCTTATCCCTGGAAAGGGCCTTCTGGAAATTTTGCCAACCGGCTTTGGAAAGAATTTAATCTACCAGGTTGTTAATGAATTAGGAAAAAAAATTCCGACTGCCAGTCATTTAGTTATTTGAGAACCGCGACAAACAGTCCACCTCATGCAATTTATAAGTGCCAACATCCTGAGCTCAACGTAAACCGAGCGCTAGACATGCGATATGTAAACCATTTCAAGATCGCTAAAGGCAAATTACAGGCACTCACATGACAAAAGTCAACCCTTGATTAAATTCTTACAAGTTTCGTTCTTGAGACTTACCCTTACCGAAACATTGCACAGATTTCCAGTTTATTGTGCGCCTCGAAATTTGAGATGGTTAAGTTTTCGTCTGATTACCTGTGAGTTGCGATGAAATGAAGATTGATTGGTAATTAGGGGTCAGTTAGTAAAGGACAAGACAAACCAAAGGGATGAGGTCGATACAATATGTCGCATTTCAAGCCATTGTGTGACTGCTTTGTTCAGCTAATCTTGTGGTACAGACAACATAACTGTTTAGACAGACTTCACAATACACTGTTTAACTGTTTATTAATCACAGCGATTAGTGAGAGGCAAACAGGGCAAATTGTGTTTTAAATGATCTGTTTATTTCGTCACGCAAGAGTTCCTGTTTTGCGTTACATTCCAAATTTCATTTATTTCCTAAGGCCACCCATGGGATAACCGATCGAAAGTGGATGACAACTTATATAAGAAAACCAAATCCTTTTCGATTGGCTAGCAAGCAAAATTATGTTCCAAGAGCGATAACGGGATCCCGGTTAATGACATACAGTTACCTTCAAATGAGAGAAATTCAGATATGAAGAAGTTTGGAAACGTGGAAAAACAATACTACAGGCTTATTTTTGTTCCAAAAGCCCATCATAAATATGTTGTGACAAAAACTGGAAATTAAGCGACAGTAGGGTTCTCAACCCAGGTCTACTCGCCTAAAGATTACATGCAAATCGCGCAAGGGATATTTGGTGATACTGCTTGTCAACTGCTGCCGCCTTTCAAAGCAGGTGTAACCGCCCGTCTATCTTCTGTCTCTCCTCCATCGTCCTTTTCCGTGTAAGTTTTAGCAATTCTGGTTCTTCAAGCAGTGACTAAGATACGCTTTTAATGATGGAGGAATTCAGGGAAGGAATCTTGATTTCCTGATACTGCTGCTCGAGTACTGTCACATTCAAAGCAGGCGTAACTTTTCGTCGCTCCTCCATCTTTATTTTCAGTTCTATCCTACGATTACAATTGTGTTCTCCGATCAAGGTGCTTGGTAAGCTTTTAGCGGTAGAGAGGATATACTTTATATCAAATTGTTTTCGTGACTTCCAATCGAGTCATTCCACTAATTTTTCATCTAGCTCGTTATACTAAAGGACTTTCCGCTGCCGTGTGCCGGAAATTTGTAAAGTACGTACATTGAAATAAAAGCACACCATTGTAACGTATAATCCTGATGTGATGTCCACTTGTGGGGATCGCTTCTCTAGAAGTTTTGTTCAATGTGCGATTTGATTTATTTATTTAGTAGTTATCAAGTTCCCGAAAGATCGGGAGGCTCTTTGAAAATTCAAACAGTTGTTCAGCCGCATGGACGTCTTCTGATACGTCAGTTTTCGCTTTCGGTAAATTAAGAAAGGTGTTCTGTCACCACTGTATTTAAAATCGACTGTGACCAAGAACATTTCACCATCTTGAAGATGTTTGGTACAGCTTTACTCAAAATTATCCCAGGTATAAAAGCAAACCACAAATTGTGCCATTCGTCTTTGACTGGATTGATTTTAAACGTTTGAGAAAGGCAAAGACAGCTAAGAAGTTTTCTTATGGTATTTATATCTTAGAGGAAAAATAAATTATTTTCTTTACCAAACAGGTATTGTGGCTTGAAGGAAACAACCATGTAAAGATATTTATGATTTTGAAAGATACGATCGGTAGAGAAATATATTATGCACGAAATGAAAAATCGCGCTGAAATTAATGTGCTTGTCAGAGAGTAATGTATGCATTACTGTGTCGACTTTTAAAGGGGTATGGAAATTCACGAGATTGAATCATTTGTGATAGATTTTCGGCAGCCATTTTGTGGTCACTCCACCCAAAATTGGCTGAGAATTTATTCTGTTTCCAAAAGAAGGAAGTCCATCTCTGAAATAATTTTCGGAGTAAACGAGAGCATCGCAGAAGAAGAATGTTGACACAGACTATCTTCCTTATCAATAAAAATCCCTTTATGACTGTAATCCGCTTGGTTTGCTTCGCACGTATTAGCATTTTGAAAGGCAAACAAATAATACTTCACGGTCGACCACATAAAGCCCGCTCGTTGAAATTCATTCCACGACATGCAATTCAGTGACATATATCCCTTGTTAATCATATTGGACTCGAAATCAAGCAAAGTGATTATAATAGTTTTTTTATTTATCTCCAGATATTCCAACGGCGACGACATGACTTTGCCAAATCAGCTTTCGAGTCCTGATGCAAACCCCAAAATGCTGATGAAGAAGCACCTCACTCCAGAGGTGTACAAAGCTTTGAAGGATAAAAAGACCGCCGGCGGTTTCACTTTGCACGATCTGATAAACTCTGGCTTGGTGAATCTTGACTCTTCGACTGGCTGTTACGCTGGCGATGAGGAAAGCTACACCCTGTTCGCGCCATTACTGAACCCCGTTATTGAGGAGTACCACAGCCCTTACAAGTTGGCAGATGGCCATACATCAGACATGAACCCAGATAATGTTGATGCACCAGACTTAGACCCTGAGGGATCTTTCATTCGGTCTACACGTATACGTGTTGCCCGAAATCTCAGGGGCTACCCACTAACACCCAATTTATCCAAAGAACAACGACTCGAGGTCGAAAAGAAGGTCGTTGGCGTCTTGACGTCTTTGACCGGTGATCTCGCTGGAAAGTACTATCCGCTGTCAGGAATGGACGAGGAGACCCGCCAGCAGTTGGTGGATGACCATTTCTTGTTCAAAAAAGGCGATCGCTTCCTAGAGGCGGCTGGCGTCAATAAGGAATGGCCTGAGGGACGAGGTATCTTCCATAATGACAACAAGACCTTCTTAGTCTGGGTGAACGAGGAGGATCAACTTCGCATAATCAGCATGGAGATGGGTGGCGACATCAAATCCGTACTCACTCGCCTGTGTCTTGCTGTGAACGAGATAGACAAGCAGCTGGGTTTCCAGCACACTAAGCAGCATGGGTATCTGTCCTCGTGCCCAACTAATTTGGGTACAGGAATGCGCGCTAGTGTGCACGTGAAAATCCCACATGCCAGTATACACCCAGACTTTAAGAATATTTGTGATCAATATCATATTCAGGTACGAAATATTAGCAGAAGGCATCGCTCTCAAATATATTTCTTTTATGGCTTGTATAAATTTCGATTACATTTCTTTTGGACGCTAAACTTCCATGTGCAAAGTCTTACATGGTGGTTAGAAGTAAAAGAGGGGAAATTTTCCATTCATTGTTCTCCTGTTTTAAGAAGCACCACTTTGCTCATAATTAGCCACAATATATCTCCCCAGGGCGAAGATACAAGCATTTAAGCCAAAAAATTGAAATGATAGACAGGAATGATAAAGGAATGCTTTGCATGAAGGCTGTGGACCGCATTTCTGGGGTATGAAAGGAACTAATGTCTTTGAAGCTTAAGGTATCTTAAGGATGGTGTATATTTTTCAGCCTCGTGGAATCCATGGTGAACATTCCGAGTCCACTGGAGCGGATGCTGGTGTTTATGACATCAGTAACCGCCGGCGCTTAGGTCTGTCCGAGGTTCAATGTGTTAAGGACATGTATGAAGGGGTGAAAAAGCTGCTGGAGATCGAGAAAGATGCTATTGCGTAAGTACTTTGGTTTGAAACTTTGCCCCACTTGTTAACATATCCAAAATCTGAAAAACGTAGGACAATTAGGGGAATGTGAAGTTAGAATGGAGTTGAGTTTGCAATTAGTGGTTCAACATTAAATCGTTTGAGTGAAAGGGACTTTTTCCGAAGAAAAGTTTCTGAAAAAAATAACTTGATTGAAAGAAAGACTTTAAAAGTGACAACGGTAATGTAAGAAGGGTTCTTCTCCTTTGTTAGTGAAAAGGAAGCCATGTTCCCAGAAGCTCTCAACAAGCCCGAGGTAAAGTCTCTGCTGAAGAAGTATCTTACTGAGGACACTTTTAACGAGCTAAAGGATAAGAAGACAGCTAGAGGCTGTACTCTTTGGAATCAAATCAACTCTGGTGTGGAGAACCTTGACTCTTCCACTGGCGTTTATGCTTCAGAACAGGAAGCATATACCCTGTTTGGCAAAATGTTCGACGCCATCATCGAAGACTATCATGCTCCCTACAAACTTTCAGACAAGCATGTCACCGATATGAACCCAGACAAGGTTGAGGCTCCAGATCTGGATCCTGACCACAAGTTCATCAGATCCACCCGCATCAGAGTAGCGCGAAATCTCCAAGGCCACGGTTTGCCACCCAGTATTCATAACAAAGAGAGACTGGAAATTGAATCAAAGGTAAGTGTATGGTACAAATCCTGTTCCGAATCCCAAATAATTTATATACAATTTTAATTTTTGTTATGAAAAACGAAATGCAAAGGTAATTGTTGAATTTCAGACGGATTTCTGTATGACTGCCTGACAACCTGGCAAAGTTCACTGAGCCTTAACATTTACTAACACCTGAGCTGAAATTCACATCACGTTAGTAGACCTGTTAAATAACTAAGGAGCAAACCCGGTGAATCTTAATTATCGTGGACATTTCAGGCCTCAGTGGTCGTGCTCAGTCTATTTTCACATATTTTTCAATGGAATGTCTATCATTGCTTCCTGCAGATCGTAAAAGTTCTAACGTCCTTAACCGGAGATCTAGCCGGAAAGTACTACCCTCTGACTGGAATGACTGAAGAAACCCGGAGGAAGCTTGTGGAGGACCACTTCCTGTTCAAGAAGGGTGACCGCTTCTTGGAGTCCGCGGGCATCAATAAGATGTGGCCTCAAGGTCGAGGAATCTTTCACAATGACAACAAAACTTTCTTAGTATGGGTGAACGAAGAGGACCACTTAAGGATTATCAGTATGGAGAAAGGAAGCGATATCAAGTCAGTGTTTGAGCGCCTATGCTTGGCTGTCAATGAGCTGGACAAACAAATTGGATTTCAACACGACGAATACCGTGGAAATCTTTCCTCGTGTCCAACTAATCTGGGCACAGGTATGCGTGCTAGTGTGCACGTGAAAATCCCGCACGCCAGTGAACATCCCGATTTTAAGAAGATTTGTGACGAATTCCACATTCAGGTAAGGAATGCCTGAGAATTTTTCTTGCATTAGATTAAAGATGATTATCAAACAATACAGAAGGGTATGAAAAAACATCGTTTTAGAGGATAGAAAGTGGACTGTAACAAACCCTTGTGTCACCTTGAAACGAGGAAGGAGGTACGCCAAAATATCTGCACTCGTTCTTAGAACCGTACCTGTTATTTAAAACCGAACGGGTTAACACATACCTGATCAGATGGACATAAGTGATCATTCTGTTTGCTTTCTCATATTGTAATGCCCTTTTTTCTGCAGGCACGTGGAATCCATGGCGAACACTCCGTGTCTACCGGAGAAGATGCTGGAGTTTTTGACATCAGTAACCGCAGACGACTGGGTTTGTCGGAGGTGCAGTGTGTGCAGGACATGTACAATGGCGTCAAGAAACTTCTGGAGATTGAGGAAGAAGCTCTTGCTAAGTCATAAACGAATCTAACTAAATTCCAGTCTTAGAATTAATGAAAAAGGGTCTCAAAAAATAAACGTGTGGGAATTTTTCATTCAAAAAGTGTTTAATTCCAAATTACTTTTCTTTGAAGTGTTTGAAGTGTTAGCAGGTTGCGCTTGTAATTGTAATTTTGCTAAAGAAGTGATAGATGAGTCTGAAACAGGTGTGATTATTGTGGCAGTTTCAGCTGTGGATGTGGGTTTTCGAGTGACAAATATTTGAGGTCTGATTAATGACTAGCATTTCAGGTTTAAAATAAAGGTGATAATATTGCTGTTGTTATGTTAATTTATTTTTGACTCTGCATATGTACACAACATATGTCGTGAAAATTTACAGTGAAAAAGAAATGTTTTTTCTGTTCTTTTTTTCTGGAATATTCTCCAATATTGTGATTTTAAGGCTCGGGGGGGAAAGTGGACAGAGTAACTGTTCATTTTTTCAAGTCTCTTTGCTATGGAAACTAAACCTATTTTTGTGCCCAACAGGTAATCCTGCGCCTTTGTATCTCAGTGTTTACCAAGGCCATATTTTCCTTACGAGTCGTTATTTCTATCCCGAGAAACTATGGTTATTATTATTTTTTAATTAATTTTTTTTATTTCCCATCTATAATCACAAACTAGTGTGCCAGTGCGAGACGTGAATATGAAAGTGATCAACGAGTGGGGATAAGTGAGAATCATTTATGGGAACTGCGATTTTTAAGGGCGAAACAGTTAAGACTTCAAGACGGAGAGAACCAGTCCAACCATGAAAATTTTTTTACGCCTCGTCACCTTAGCAATCTAGCTTACATTTTAGACAAACCACTTCCTTTGTTCTTACAAAATTGCCAGGTTTTAGATTACCGACAGATTTCCTCTAGTTAACTCGCAACTCCTGCATCTTCTACACAACTAACACGCATTGAAAAGATCATAGTAAAGAGAACTTAGTTAAGAACAGACAGTAAAGAGTCTATAAGTCTACAACTGTGCTTGCTCTTTGCTCAGCGTGTCCTTCTAGAGGTTAGCTAATTGAGTATTGGTGTAAACATATTGCGTTAAAACGTTTATCAGCTCTAAACTGACGTCCAGGTTTCCTGAGTCTCGCTACTGCAGTTTTTTTCGGGGAGTAGGAAACGGTCACTAAATTTCTGCCGCAAAGACATGAGTGCTTTCCTGACGTCTCCAGCAACCTGTTCTTCAAATTCCCTGAGCAAAGCTGTCCTTTTCTGTGTTTCAGTGTCATTCGTATTGGATACCAGGAATTCTAGCTTTTTAGTGGCTGAAATTAGAAAATGTTGCTTAGCTTAACTGGTGACGATAGGTTGATATTTCTGCATTTTTAAAAGGAGGAAATAATCCATCGCTAAAAAGTCAGCTTCAGCGAGGTAAAGTCATTTCATCAAGTGCCTCAACTCCAACGCCTCTTAACAACCTTTTGACAGCAACGCTGTAGAAACTCAGTGGTGGTTATGGTGAAGGAGACGTATTGGGCAAATTAAACGTCATTCGTTGGCTGAAAAATCTTTTTTTTCCGAGGTTTAACCGTAAGAAGTGTCTTACTCATAGCCTCAAATTCCATACTAAACTCAAACTGGCTACAAAGTCTGGCGGACAGTACATAGCTAATCAAACCATATTTTTCCCAGGGCAAAGCAGATAAGGAAATTTCTCTTTCTTTAAAAACAGATAAACTTAAATCATAATAGTCATTTTTTTTTTCTTTCAAAAAAAGGCAGAAAAAGCCATTTTGTTACAATTTTGACAACCGCCTTCTAGCAATCGCCCTGACGAACGGCAAACGCCCGAAACGTCAGCCTTCAAACTCTTTACGGTGGCCAATTTGCGTTTTCAACTCATTTGATAACACTAAATACCCTGTTATACTCTCCTACCGACGCAGCACCACAGTTTCTCTAGAAACTTACCCCCTTTATTCATTCGCCTTCTGGTAACCAGTGTGAGCGATGAGACTTTCGAGCTCGCAACAAATTTGGAACTATTTTTCAACGCCAGTAGACGTTATACTCTCCTTTGTTAGTGATTTTGATGGCCCATTTTTGTTCCAGTGCAAGTATTATCTACACTGGGGGATTGTATAAGAATAGATTGCGCCTACATTACTTGCATCCGCATTACTCGCTTGTTTTCAACCTCGCTTGTCAATCAAATCATCCATACAGCGATGTGCCGTAAGGAAAAGGTCAGTCGTGAGACAAGGGTTACGCAACAAACCAACCTCCTCGTTCATTTTGTCGCATCCGTGTCCTTCGGCACATTTCCCAGGTGGCACCGGAGATGAGAAAGAATGTGAGAATCCCCAGACAAGTGAACAAAGCTGGGTAAAATAGTAGACCTTCTGGATCTACACCTATTGTTTGATCACCTGGTGTCATTGACTCCTCTAGGCCACTCTGAGGTAAAAAGGAAAGAATAAAACAATTGAAAACGATCTATTTCAAATCTTTCGTTTTTCAAGTGCTGGCGGTGAATTTATCTTTTCTTAAACATTATACTTCTTGACGCCAAATTTGACGATAAAATGAGGAAGGTCATCTGTATCGTCCCGAGCTCTTCTTCTTCACTCGCCTATCGTCAAAGAAAAAAGATATTTTTAAGTCAAGCAACTCTAACGGCTCTCACCAACCCATTGATATCAGCGCTGTAAAATCTCAGTTTTGGTTACGGCGTATAAGACGTATCGTGTAAATCAAATGTTTGTTGTCAGCTGAAAAACGTTTATTTTCTCGAGATTCAATCAAAACTAGTTTGTTTTTTATAGCCTCTAACCCATATCAAACTCAAACCGATTTCAAAATCGCGGACCACTTGCCCTGACGCACAGTGCACAAGTCGGGCACACGAATTAGGTGAATTAGTCGTCTGTTTGTTTGTTTGTTTGTTTGTTTGTTCCTGTAGAACACAAACGTCATTTTTATCGTCCTTGGCCCTTCTATTGACTGCCCGTCCTCGATGCAAACTTCTTCAAAATGCGACGAACACCAAAAATAAGCTCACTTGATTTATCACGTAAAGGAAAAAGAAACAAAACAAAATGTTGACATACCAGTTGAAATTGCTTCAAGGAAATCATTTACCTTCATGGACTTGCCCATGTACAACTCAGCGTATTCATACATTTCGGACTCCTCCGAAAAGCGCAGGTTTTTCAAACATTTGACCAGGCTAACCAGTGAAGAGTTCTCGATCAGTGCACCATATTCCAGGTATTCTTGAGAGATGACTTCTTGTACTTTGAATTCGTTTGCTGGGAAATAGTCTCGATAATGATCCAAGGTGAAGCTGTCCATGAGTCCTCCTTTGATAGCGAGAAGATTAAGTGAGTGTAATCTACTTCATAGTTCCAGGAAAGTCTGTTTTTTTAATGCTTAATACAAAGTGATATATACCTATGGCTTTCCCTTCCAAAATTTCTTCTTGGATCTCTTTAATGCTGTGGACTCCTGGATTAGGAAAATTAAGAGATATCGTTATTCCATGATCAAGAGTATTGCAATGGATAACTCAATCGATAACTGTGCGCTACACTTTTTCAGAGAATCATTATATTCTGTCCTTTAAAAGAGAAATGTAATCGTTTGTGATCACGTAACGTTTCGACTGCATACTGTTAGTCTTCTCCAAACGATGAAGTCGATTGAGTACGTGTCACCTATATGCCGTTGTGCTCAGCTGTGATTGGGTAGAATTCCACGGCTGTGATTGATGCATTATTAGATTATTTGTGACCTTCTACAACAGTACATCCTTTCGTTCATATACTTTTATGTCGCCAGCTTGATAGACCATTCCATTTATGGGCCACTTGCTACATGCAATCATTCTCACCTAAGGAATGAGTACAGGCAAATTCCATTTCTGGAGTTTTGAAATACAGCTAGAGTCAGCATTACTCACGTCTAACTTGAGCTTGTCTTTGAAAGCCTGTCGTAGCCTCAATTGAGCCAAATAGAGCCGCTACCTGTACAAAAGTGTGGAAATACATCGTATAATATCCCAAAATACTCTTCACGAGATTTGGTTAACGAAGGAAATTCATCTCAGAATTTCCTTTGTGAATATTGCATTAGCACTGAATCTTATCGGTCAGGGTCAAGTAAAGTGTAAGCCCAGCTAACAGTCTTGATGGATACACATTCACACTCATAGATGTTTTGATTATTGAGGATCACTTATTAGATGGGAAGTGAGACTCTACTTTACCCTTTGAAAGCTATCGATTACGAAAATGGCCTGCGTCATCTTTAGCTTTTGACAACACTCTGAAGTCTATAAGCTTACCTTCCCACATTTCATTGACAATTATTATTAGTGGAGAAGAGAAGTTAGTGTTTTGCCCCTAAACCACACAACACAATGACCAAACCGGTGATATTATGCTACCCTGAACTTCCTTTTATGCAGTCTAGCACACCGTCACTGAGCTGCTTGTCCTCTACGATGTATTCAAAGACGGGCCTGAATTTGTAATTCACCTTTGCCTGAGGGAGGGGAATCATAGTGTCTAAGCTGATTGTTGTTAGAGAGGTTGTTAGCATGGCAGTGAAGATGGAACACATGCAAATCCCAGTTAAGATCCAGACGATCGCAAACAGTCTCCCAGAGATAGTCTTTGGGCAGCGATCACCATATCTGAAGTAAAGAAATAAGTTGGATGATTTGCAAGATGGCTGACAGATTTCTTCGTTTCCACCACAACTAATAGTAGCTCTAATATTTCAAAAGATTTTACATAGCATCCTCTGTAGTACCGTCTTTCAAAATGGTAGTCAGGAGGAAATGTTATGCTTCAGATTGTGAGTACAGAATTACAACAAAAAATATCGGAAAAAAAAACAGACACAGTGACTAACTATTGGCCCGATGGTAAGCGTTCTATGGTTTTACCCGACTGTTGTCATGGACACAAAAGCCCACCAAAAGCCTTCCCATGATCCTTGAACGAAGCTCAGTGGAAATTCCTCTGTGTTTTGCCTAGTATCCTGTGGAAATAATTTCGATTGTTTACCACTGATGCCGGATAGAAGCACAGATAGATAGACACCCACGCCTGCTGGCTGACTGACCACTTAGACTAACAGATTAACAAGGACTGAACAACTGACAGACGGACAAATAGATAGAAATACTTGCTGACAGACCGACTACGCGCAGACTAACAGATTGACAGGCTGACTGATTGAATAACTGACAAACAGAGAGACAGTCAGAATGACTGACTGACTGACATACTGACAATAACTGACTGAGAGAAGGCTAACAGACAGAATGACTGACCAAATGACTGACAGACAGACAGGCAGACTAACTGACAAACTGACTGACAGATAAGTACTGTGGTACAAACAAACGAACAAAGGGAGAAATAGAACGATAGAAATACAGGAGAAAAGGAATGAAGGCAAACCTGCTAAAAGAAACGAAATTGCGATTACATTTGTATGTCGTTGGTAAAATAATGAATTATGAATGTAAGGTAAAATCTACTAAGACAACTATGAAACATTTACAAACCAGTATCCAGGCAACGATTCCTGCTAGCACCGACAATAACAGCGTTAACACCAGCACGGGCCAAGAGCTGAAGATGGAGGACAAAATTTTAATGGGGAGGTGTTTTCTGTCAGCCCTCTTGACGACAAATGCGACTCCAGTGTTAGGAAGTATGGGAACCACTTTGCTCTGAGAACTTAGGCCACTTTCCTTGTAGTTGAGAATCACGGGAAGTACAATGTCAGCCTGATACGCGTCAACATATTTAATCACAGTTGATGAACAACAGCTTGATATCATAAAAACCAAGTTTACTGGAATAGAAAGTTTCTTAGAGTTAGTGTAGTGAATCACTCTGCCATAGCGAAGCCCTTGGGCACGGAATCGAAAACAACAATGTCCATGGTTAAGATTATGTGACAATACCCCAAACGAATAATTTACACGGCGCTCAAGGATTATACTTTCGTCCATTGGCACGGATTTACGAGTGTGTTTCATCAAAGATCAGTCAATGAGACTCTGGTTTTCAGTAAGCGGAGAACAAGGTGGTGCTTCTTTTAAGAAAAGTGTTTCTCTGCTATAAAATTAAGTTTCCCTTATGGCAAAGAATCGTGATAAATGTATAATGGATCGCAGATAAGATCATTATTGGAGGAAAAGAAGTGTAATTGTATTTAAACAGTGAGACGTCTGCTATAAAATATTGGTGCGATAAAATTGACCTCTCTGTTTACTAGCTACATGCCTAGTCTTCTATCAACAAATTTAAGGAAGTTGTGAGGAAATCATGATAACTTTCTCTGTTCTAATTGCTCATCCTTATTTATTCTAGCTTTAGCCTAACCTCCTCTGCTTTCGTTTGACCAAATGCACTGATTAAACTCATATCGAAGTTTGAGAGAAGCGCTTGAAGCTTCACAGGGCATACAAAGCTCCCTGACTTTCTATCACAGATCCATAGGATTTCAAAAATATTTGTTTACACGTTTTAGATTTTTCGCCCCCAGAAATTGCTTTGAGTCGTGAAAGCCTCAGAAATCCTCCTTTTTAGCTCTTTGTGTATGAGTTTATTTTACTCACATGGAAACAACCCATCGTAGGAAGTTTCATTACCGCTGACTTGTTTAATCACGTGGGGTTCTCGAGCAAGGAACTCATCCCACCTGACTTTGATAGTATCTGGACACATTTCAGTTTTCCTTAAATCATCCATTATCATCTCATCATCTTCCGTGATGTTTTCGGCAGGAATAGATTTCAACTGAAGCGCCATCAAGAGAAAAGTTATTATGAATACCAAAGAAGCCATTTCTCTACCTACAAATAGAAAAAGACAGTACCTTTGACAAAATTCTCCATTCTGATGGCCTCTTTCATCCCTGCTACCTATTAACACATTAATGACTTATAGCATGGTTTTTATCTCTGCTATTGGCGAAATTTTCCGGAAATAAAATCAACTTTAACATAAAAGATTTCTCAAACTTGCAAACCTCAGAAGTAGTAATTTTTTCGGTTATTTAGTGAAAACAATTCAACTTGTATGATTCAAGAGTTATTCACATGACCCTCCCAGCTTTGGCGGACTCCTTCAATTTTGTGGCTTGCTATTTATTTCTCTTACTGAGCTTCGAACCGCTTTGTGGAGCCATGCTGTGTTTGGCCAAGTCGCCATCAATATTTTTCCTACATCAAGATCTTTGAAAGATATTTCTACAAAGTGCTATCAACTCATGGGATTGGTTACATTAAACGATTTCCTAGTAGCCAACAATTCCACATTTCCATCACACATCATGGCCTTATAAATACTCGATATCTACTAATCGAAGACGATTTATAAAATAATGAAAAAGGAAAGTGTTCTTACGGCGTCTGTTATTTTTTCTACAGACCGCACGCAGAAAATTAACGCAAGCCAGCTGTTAACAGCTGATGTTGACAGATTGATAAGCAATTTCCAATTATGTCTTGTAGATTGCAATAGTTGACACTTCACAGATATACATCTTAACGTTTATATTCTTAAGAAGTCAAACTGAAATGTGTAATCGTTGACTTCCCTCGAACTATTTTGATAAAATTAACGTGCTTTGTTCATTTATAAAGCCAAATAACAATCCATATTTCTTGTTAAATCTCTTCTCTTCTTTTTCCAGCCTTGTTTACGTAATTGAATTAGAGTGAATTTCGCACATCGTACCAAGCATCGTTAAGTTACTAGTAGGGTGGCAAAGTCGAAAAGTTGAAAACCTACACAGCCATTTTTATCATTTATGTGATGAGGAAACTGATATAGAAGCAGAGGAAGAACATAACAGTCAAATAGGAGTTATTATTCTCATCTAGAAAACCGTTATAATTTTCAGAACGAAATTTAGAAACTTAAAAACTCCAGTGATGATTTACGATTGAAAACAAGCTGCAACGAGATAAGAATTTTTCTTACAATGTGTGTTGCAGTTTATTCCACAATGTAGTCATTTACGATGAGAATCGCATCATATCTTTTCAGTTAATTGGGCCGACGTGTTACGATAGGAGAAATAATGCATATTGCTTTAAAAGCTGACAAATAGCAGTAGTTTGCGGTCGAAATATAAAAAAACCACATTGAAACTCGCAATTTATCACGAAACAAATGATAATGTTCCGTCACTGTTATATTTAAGCAGGTCAAACTACAACCTATCTCACGATAAGAAAAAAGTTCGCAAGAGGGGATTGAGGTCAGGTAAAGGCCGTGGGGATTGACGGGGATTTAAAATGGTGAGCTGATCATTACAGGCCGAGGTTCGAAAGGAAAGACGGAGAGAGTAATAAATCGATTTACTGCCCATCAAACCTGTAGGCTATGGAAATGATGCAGTTTTCGCCGTCTTTGTCCTTTCTGTTGACGTATCTTCTGTAATAGTAATAATTATAGTCCACACAAGGAATTATCTATGTAAAGATATCCCAATATTGTACAACTCTCGAATTGATTCGTTTATTGAGGTAGTTTAAATTATTATTCAAACGATTCAAATGTCTCTATATCTATTTGCATCAAACATAACACCTGCTCCATTCCTAATTGGTTATTTCGTTAGAAACTCTAATATTTGCTTTTCCCAATCCAACAAATTCGTTGAAGTCTATCCTTATGGCTTTTGATCGTTGTGATTAACCAAACTTAGGGAAACAATTTGTTAGTCAGAGCTAAGGAAAATGATTCTTTATCAAGGCAGCTCAAAGAGCAACGAGTGATGAACTAATTTGCCAGTAATCGTAAATTATGTGCCTTCTTTAGATATAAGAAACATTTTGCTCACTATACGCGGATATTAAAACAAAAAAGCCACAATATTAACAATTTTATCATTGTATCCATGCGTAGTCCTTCTTCAAGTATTTTTTTTTCTTTTTTGTGGACTGAATATGTAATTATCGGAGGCCCCCTAGACAATACGTCGAGCAAAAGGTAGAGAGTCCTTGAATTAACTTGCAACTGATTCCGCGTTAACGTTTGGTGAATTAGATATGGAAGTAATTAAGTGTTTCTAAGCTTACCTTAAAAAGCAAACCAAGGATTCAGAATAGGGTCGTATCGATCGTTTAAAATGGCGAGCGTCTAAAGATTCTCTAATAATCCTTCCAAATTAATATTCCTTTCGAGGGCCAACTCGCTAATAATTTCTTTTTTTCTCTTGAATTTAATAGCAAAATGCAAATTACTGCTTGATTACTACCTTTTATGGACACCAAATACAATGGCAAAAATTAAGAAAAACAAAAGCTTTCGAAAACAAAATAATCTCCAATAATTGCTCAGTTTAAAAGTGTTTCTGTCAAGGCCGAACAAGAGTTCGTTTTTCTTATCGCGTTCAACTCGTAATTGACGTCTTGTACAATTAATTTTTCCCAAGAAAACATGGTAAAAATTACTATGTATGTTGAGGCCTGTTCATATTAAGGCGAGACCAGCTGTAAACGGATATGATACCCCAAAATAAAGAAGTGATCCAATAACTACACATTATAGAAAAAAATGTTTCTCCATCACCATCAAACACCTCAATGTACAGTTTATTTACGTGTTTTTGATAAAACCAATTTCCAATACTACCACCTGTGTAGACAAGATCTGTTCAGCAAGAAATAATATGTTAGTAGTTATGGTAATCATACAATACTTTAATGGCACTTTCGCTTGTTAAGTTAAGGACAATTTTCCCTCTTTTAGCGCAGATAGAAGACAAGTGAGAATTAATAAATAGTAATATTAATTGTGAAATTCTCCAAGAGCGCTGCTTAGGGTTTGAGATCTAAGAGCACCTTACAGATAGAAGAAATGAAAAAAATATTCAAAAAAAAAAAATCATGCAATAAAACTTTGTTTAAAATTGATTCAATTAAAATTTATTGAGCTCTCTTTTGAATGGAAAACAAAGTTTGCGCCTTTTTAATGTTCACTGGCAAGGAATTCCAATTGGTTTAGCTACCAAGAAACATCGAGCACTGATGAAGGCAGAACAAAGAGATTACTGGTGGGTTGGAGCTTTTTCACTCAGTGCTTTAAGTGACAGTATGCCAATTAAGGTGAAAAAAAATTGGCACCCATAGCTCTGAAAATGCAGCAAACGACTGCGTTAAAGCAACTTTGTGTGCGCCATAACAATCAACATCATGATCGACACATACCTATTAAAGATCGGTTAATATGATTAAAATTTTATTGTTTTCTTGAAACAAAATTAAGTATCCAACACTTCACAATCAAATTTGCTCGGAACAGTATAATTGAAAATTAACCACCGGGAAAACGTATTTTACTTTTATCCATGACTATGGCTTAGTTCAGTGACGTTTTTCGTCGTCAGATCTCACAAATTCATGAAAGAGATAATTAAGTTTAGTGCAAAACATAAACATGCAAGCCAATAAAAAAACAAATATTCATTTTTTTGTTCGACATTCAAGATTGCCTTATTGCGTGGTGCTATCACTACAAATGGTATGCTGAATGTGGGAAGTGAAAAGTTCTCGAATGAAATAAAACTGTATGATGTACTACTTTTTTCCGAGAACTGAGCTCCACTAGCATATGTGTTCGAATCCTGCAACAAATCGTGTTTGAGAACTGTTTCGTAACCAAACTTGATTAATCAATATGCCAAACAGCGAACGTAATAAAGATTCTTGTTATGACTGAAACATATTTCAACCGCAGAGGAGAAACGATACCTCAATATTTTATTACCTTATTAAACATCGAGCATCTTAAATGATGTTTTGACTATTGTCTCAAAGGAACTAACTCGAAGAATTTTGGAATCAGAGAGAAGAAAAAACATAGTGAGTTCGGTGGTCTAAATGTTCTGTCGCAAACCTGTGTACAGCTGAACTGTTAGCTCATGTACTGTCGCTGTTAGATCTGTTCCTCTCCCAAAAGAAAATCTCCAAAACAAGCAGTTTGGCAACTCGATGCTGGCTGAGACAATAAATTTTCGGAACACTGATTGTATGAATAATTAAAAATTTTTCAATACATTTGATTACCTTACGTTTTCATTTCTTTTTTAACTGTCAGCGGGGAACTCAGCTTCATTTTCCTTGTTAAGTCGAGTTTATAAATATAGGCAGAGATGTGTGCAAAGTTTTCTTCTTACAAAAAAAAATTGAGACGAAAATATTTACTAGAAAAATCCTTTTTCCTTCAAATCAATTATGAAGCTCAATAACAAACCTTAATTGTCGCCGCATGACTTCCCGACGCCAGAAATCGTAAATACCCGGACCTTAGCTTAATACACGTCGATCTTTTTGGTGGGCTGTCTCTGCTCTAGCTTAAAGAGAACTCACATGTATTTCACCAATGAATTAAATTAAGTGTCGAAATGGAAGTGGTTATTCGTTACCTAAACCACTTCAGAACAGTACTCCTCTTCAAATTAGTTTTAAGCGCAATGTAAAAACTGTTTCTCGGAGATTAGAGAAGATTTATGACATGAAATGCTTTAAAGTATTCGAAGGCGCAACTGGTAACATGTAATTATTTACTAGACAGTAATGGCAGTACTTTGATAGTCGTGAGCACCCGTTTGTCTAAAATGTAGAGTATATGTCTTGTTCTAGTTACAAGATTATGATCTACGCTTGAAATCTCTTTTATGAGTTAAAAATTCTACTTACTTAGGATTTAGCCTTCGATCGGGTAACTTTTCCATTTAAATTCTCGTTCAATCGGAGAGAAAACACAATTAGATAATATATCTGAAACTATAAAACCGTGCAGGACGCCAATCATCTCGTACAAATACCAAGCAG